AAGAAGACGGAGAAGGAGAAGAAGTGGAAGATGGAGAAGAATAGGAAGAAGAAGAAGAAAAGGATGAACAACAACAACAACAACAACAACAACAACAACAACAACAACAACCACAACAACAACAACAACAACAATAACAAGAAGAAGAAGAATAAGACGGAGAAGAAGAGGAAGAGGAATAAGAATAAGAGGAAGAAGAACAAGAACATGAAGAAGAAGAACTAGAAGAACAAGAACAAGAAGAGGAGGAAGAAGAAGAAGCAGTAGTAGTAGTAGCAGTAGTAGTAGTAGTAGTAGTAGTAGTAGTAGTAGTAGTAGTAGTAGTAGTAGAGGAAGTAGAAGGAGAAGAAGAAGAAGAAGAAGAAGAAGAAAAAGAAGAAGAAGAAGAAGAAGAAGAAGAAGAAGAAGAAGAAACGATCGCTGGAACACAAAGTTTATTGGCCCGACGTTTCGGATCCTCACTCGAGCCCATCATCAGAGCCGGCCGCAGATAAAGGTAGTGGAGGCACAAAGACTGCAGTACTTATAGTACGTAGCTGCTGTGAGGCCACATGCGTTTTATAATTAACAGCTCTCGCGATCACCGCTAGGGTCGTAATAGAGGCGATGATGACTAATCAGTTCGCGTCCGAGTCGTTAGCTGTCGGATTTCATCATGCATGTTAGATGTTGGCGTGATGATTACTCCGCCATTTGCCCCGCTGTCACTGGGATAGTTGGTCGCCAGCGTCCTCCCCATGTGACTGATTCCCCTGCTTAGGCAATGTCTCAGCAGCAAATATGGTGCCGGGAGGTCATTGAGTTTGTTGATGGATTGCGGGGATGAGAACCATGATTCGAGCAGCTCGCGGCTCACGCGGTTGACATCTCTTGCGAGGATTTCGACCTCTTGAAACTTGAAAATATGGCCGCGTACTATGGAATGAGCTGCTACCTGAGAGCTGGCGTCTGTCCTCCTCACCGCTGCTGCGTGCTCAGCCATCCCAGTCTTGAGCAATCTCCCAGTCTCACCGACGTAGTTGCTCTGTCCGCAACTGCACCAGATCCGATAAACGACTCCAGGCGTTTCCTGCCGTGACAGCGGGTCTTTCAGCCCTATGACTCGGCGCTTGACGGACGCTTCCGGCCTGTGTGCAACCCCAACCCCAAGTGAAGTGGGAAGGCGGCTGACGGCCTCCGAGCCCTTCCTCACGTACGGAAGAGCCTGCTAAGGGGCTACAGTCTTTAGATCGGGTCAACTGGTAAGCCAAAACTGATTCATCCGGAAAATGAATCGGAGAACTACGAGTTGAACACCTGTTGAGATGTTTGCTCAGCTGGGCGCATTTTGATATTCGAAGGCTTGCTGGATCTCCTGTCTGGGAATTCATCGATTTTGTTCTAAAGTACCATTCTGTGCTACTCACGACAAGCAGTGTTAAACTGTCTTCAGGTATGTAGTCTCTACGCCAAAAAGGTCTGTAAGCGTGTGATACGCCAGTATCAGCAAACCACGGCCATTGCAGCCTGGTATGCGCTGGCAGTTCCCTGACACCTCGCTCCCTGCCGGTAGAAGCGCTTGCGCTCCCGCTGGGTATACGCGGGTGGCGGGCATAGCTGTCCAGTCATCATCCTCGTCCTTCTGACCCCTGTTTGGGGTGTTGTTGTTGTTGTTGTTTCTGCTGTTGTCGGTCAAGAACGTAGTCACTTGCTGTGTGGACCAGGGGGGTGTGGAGTGGAACACTAGGGTGCGGGCTCGACCGTGCCATCCACCTGTCCCCTCGCCTCCGGTCTTCTTGACTCTGTCTTGACACCGAGTCCAGATGGGAAGGGAGATGAGGGAGTGCAGAAGATGCTTCGCAAGTCTATTATCACTATAAACTAATTCGCGCGCAAGTCACCGTGCCTGCTGCACCTTGGCGTGTAGCACACGGTGGACATCGTCGGAATCGACGGTCGAACTGTCTAGCCGCTACGCTGGGTAAATGTGAAACCATAAGGACACCAAACACAGCCCGTCGACTAATTCACTCGAGAGGGGAGCCCAGGTGCAGCCACCACCCACTGAGGTGACGACACACAACGCAGGAGGCCGCCAGGATTCGCAAACAACGGCCAAGGCAGCGAAAGAGGGAAAGAAATCGGTCGGCTAATTCGACCGTTTCTTTAAAATTCTGGTTGATTTGTGTCCAAAATGCTTTGATAACGAGGAGCTGGCCATGTCCTCCAAAACGCGCCCTCCCCACGGGACTGATTCCCCTGCTCAGGTAATGTCTTAGCAGCGAATATGGTGCCGGGAGGTCATTGCGCTTGTTGAGGGATTGTGGGGATATGAACCATTATTCGAGTAGCTCGCGGCTCACACGCTTGTCAGCTCTTGCTATCCCTCCTATCCGGTGAACCCTACACATTTCTCAGATTATCGACCCGCACCTCTTATGTTTGTTTACAGGTGAACTGTCTGTTTTAAAAATGAATAACCCATAGATATGAGCGTAACTACCAGCGAGAACAGAACAAATACTTGCCAACTACTTCCCGAAAACAAAACACCTTTCGCACGGAAAAGGCAGAAGCCAATTGCAGAAATAGACTTTGCGCGGGTGATCGTCATATTTGACTCTCCGCCTCCCCACACTCCTGTTTTTTTACCTTTGCATGCCTTTACATCTTTTTATCTCGTCTTAGTTTTCCTGACATATATGATCCAAAGGGCTGGCGAGTAAATAAAGTCAGGCGAGGAGTTCGAAAGAGTATTCCCCTCTGATGACCCTCTGACATGCTCTTTCGCAATGCCACAAAGTGACCTACGTACGTCCACTCAACAAATCACGTGTTGACCAGTATATTAATTAGATGCCACAGGCCGGTTTGATTACGCGTAAACCATGAACATACGCACTCATCTGATAGCGGAAACTGAGAAGATCCGCTTAAGGCACCCAGAACGTTGGGCATATTACTTATTCGTCCAGTCCGTTTTTCGGAAACTGTTCATTGCGCGTGTACAGTAAATTTACTGAAGAGGTCGGTCGGATACACAGAAAATGGTGTGTTAATGATTGCATCTGCTAATTCTATTCTAATTTACTTACTCACTGACCGGCCCTCCAACGTGTGACTTTATGGAAACTTCTATTCTCGTGACGTCTTTGTCTGCGCAACCAAGTCAAATCCTCCCTGTTTTATTAAACCACATCTCCAACTATTCAGAAAGGAACAAATTGCATGGACTCCTGACACCACACTTAACTATGTGCCAAACTTCACATAACACTTATTCCCGGAGAACATTTACCGTAGATGGATGTAACAAAAACTTTTTTCGAATTCCACTGCACGCAAGCTGCACCATGAACAACTATTAGACGGATATATTGGAAGAGATTGTCAACAAACTGGCAAAAGGCAAAAACTTTTTAGGAAGCTGCGACAGAGAGAGAAACAAAAGGAGACGAGAGTATCCCAGGCAATTGCGAGTAGCACGAAAGACAAAGCGCATGCATGGGCGGGTAGTGGGGAGAGCTGTGTGTTGGAATGCCACGAAATCCGCCAGGCGGATCGAAAGAATACAACAGGCACAACGTCCCGCAAATATTTCATACCCAAGTAATAACAATACAAAAAAAGCAGAGTGAGTAGTGGTCAAAGTCGTCGAAAAAAATCATTGGGTGGGGTGGGATGGAATTTTCCCTGGGGGGGTCGGGGGGACGGGGCGGCGGCACAATCAATTGGCTGGAATGAAGGAGCGCATGTCTTGGCCGGTTACTGAGGAGACTAGGGCAGGCAGACTCTCCACCACCTTCATGACTTCGTTGGAGATCTTTGAGATGCCCACCTCACCCTCACCGGTTGAAACCATGGTCACCTTCTGGCACTTGGCCAGTGGGGCACTCACCTCGGCGGCGACGCGCGGAAGGGTCTGCAGCACCATGTCCAGTATTGCAGCATCCTGTGGAAAAGGAATCAAGCGATGCAGGTGAAGGCTCCGAAGAAGCCAGTAAACGTGCTTCTCGATGAAAAGTAATACTTAGTGATGGTTTAGGGGGGGATACTATCAGAGTCATTAGCGGGGGGCATCGGCCAAGACTAGGTGCGGTGCCTTAATCGCACTGAGATTAGCACCCACACAGATCCTTCCTACCGGCCCGCATAGCTCAGTCTTTCTACCTTGAAAGGGTACTGAAGAGGTTCGGGCAGTACTGCATGGGTTTCAGAGCTTGCTTTGGTGTTGCTGCTACTACCACAACTACCCGAACTAATAGCAATGCTACCATCACCACTACGGCGGCCAATATTACCACCGATACTACTACTGCTATCACCATCATCATTACTAGTACTACAACACCTGCCCCCTAATTGTACTGGTAGCAGTAGTGGTGGTGGTGGTGGTGGTGGTGGTGGTGGTGGTGGTGGTGGTGATGGTAAAAGCAGCACCGGTGGTTAATAGTAGTAGTAGTAGTAGTAGTAGTAGTAGTAGTAGTATTAGTAGTAGTAGTAGTAGTAGTAGTAGTAGTAGTAGCCGTAGCCGTAGCCGTAGCAGCAGTAGTAGTGCTAGTAGTAGTGCTGCACTGCAAGGTGGAGGCAGGGACGGTGACTTTCGCGTGAATTAATTTAAATTGATAATAGACTTGCGCAGCATCTACCGCACTCTCTCATCCCCGTTCCCCTTCTGAACCCGGCGTTAAGACAGAGTCAGGAAGACCGCAGATGGGGGGGACGCGTAGGTGGATGACGCGGCCGAGTCCGCAGCTTGGTGTTCCACCCCACACCCCCCTGGTCCACACAGCAAATAACCAGGTTTTTGACCAACAGCAACAACAACACCCCAACAGAAGCCAGAGCGACGAGCATGATAACTGGGCAGTCATGCCAACCATCTGTGTGCCTAGCGGGAGCGCAAGCGCGTCTACCGGCAGGGAACCAGGTGTCGGGGAACTGCCAGCGCATACCAGGCTGTGAGGGCCATGGTTTGCTGATACTGCCACTGCACATGCTTACAGATCCTTGTGCATGTTAACTAATATTGCAATGTCACCTTGGTTATCCCCTCTGAACAAAACCATATTTCAACCTTTTCGGTTGGTGTTCTATGAGTTTCTTCCTCCATCCACTGTACGTAAGCGGCGTGTCGCGCGCATGTATTACGACCTCGCGCGAACTCATCATAGGCCGAGAACGGCATGTCGTGGGCCAGTCTGACCCCCCCCCCCCCCTTGTTTTCTGGTCTAGTGCATCTGCAGCGCACACGCTCATATATACACACAGGCAAAAAGTGCGAATCGAGAGCGCGACAAGTGGCGCGCAAACATCGGGCGTTGTCCTCCTACGCGCTTGCCGATGAAGAGCCCGTCGAAACCAAAAGTGCGCGTCCGTGCGTGCGTGCGTACACGCGCGAAGAGCGAAAAAAAACGGCAAGTCAGTCCTTGAAGCCGAGGATTCAGTGGTCAAGGCTGTGAGGTCAGCAGGTAAACTCCAGTCGCCAGTGGACGCATGATCACCGACAGGTAGGCGCACTGAATGTACTAGAGTAACTTGTTCAAGGACTGCGGCGGAGAGGACGGGGGGGGACGGGTCGCCAGTGACAGTTCGACCGACGATGCCCACCGGGGGCACAATGACTTGCGCGTGATTTCTTTTACGGTGAGAGCGGACTTGTGCTGCATTTACCACACTCCCTCCTCCGCCTACCCTACCTGGGCCCGGTGTCAAGACATAGTCCAGAAAACCGGAGACGGGAGAGGGCGCAGGTGACTGGCGCGACCGGACTCGCTCCTAGGCGCGCCGCCACACCCAACTCGGATCCCACGCGGTGGGAGCGCCATAGAGGCTACATTGAGAAGGAGTCATTGCAGCCAGACTCTCAGTCCACCATTCCGCCACTCCAAACAAACACACACACACTGGGCTGACTGCGAGGTCCAAATTATCCCGTCATTTGGCAACCTTCCACGGTCCACGGCTTCTACCTCACTGTGATAGCTTCAAGCACGTCAGACAGTCCCCAGCCACTGTCCGATGTCAGATGTCTGGGCATGGGCGCAGTGGCTGCGCGCGCCACATACGTGACCGTGATGCGGTTTAACGACTAGGAGGAAGGTCGACATGACGGTCACGACAGGTGCCTGTTCCTGCTCAACTATGTCAGAACGATCATGTTCTGTAACCTGATCGGTGAGCGTCCATCTGTCATAATTGATATTCCCGATCACAACCGACAGGACAACGGGCCCGTGGCTCAATGGTAGAGCGTCAAACTCCATGACCAAAGATCCCGGGTTCGAATCTCAAGTGATCCACACTTGGGGTTGGGTATGACTGGCTGATGACGGCTAATAAGCCAGAAATGGCCATTCCGGTCTCCCTTGTCTTTGTCGGTATCACCTTATCAATATATATATATATGATGATATATATGATGATATCCCAAGGATTTTGTGCGCCGATGCATGAGACAGAAAGAGTCAAAGGAAAGGGAACAAAGAACCTCCAGTCAGACACCGAAGCCAAATACATGGCGAACCCTCCCTTACATCAAAAACGTGTCTGAACTCGTGGAAAGGCACCTAAAGAGACACCAGATTCGGGTGGCACACAGACCGACGACTACACTACGTACCCAAATAGTACATCCTAAGGATAGGGTCGACTATTTGGATAGAAAGGAAGTCGTCTACAAGATCCCATGTGAGGCCTGTGATGCAGTTTATTGTGGTCAAACAGGAAAATCCGCCTCTACACGCATTCACGAACATCAACTTGCAGTAAAGAGGCGAGACCACCTGTCTCAAGTAGCCATGCATAGCTTGGACACCGGGCATACGTTTGCTTGGGACAGAACACGGATTGTCGGTGCCTACCCCTTCAAGAAAGGCCGAGATTTCCTTGAGGCCATGCATGTGGATGAATCGTGCATCAACCGTCACATCGAGTTGGACGCCGCGTACAAAAGTCTCAAGGAGAAATGGAAGAGACGAGAGCCAATCGGGACGGAATGACGCAAATAGCGGCCGCTCACGGGCGCAAATGCGAACGATTATCGATTTTTTCATGTGCACTGCCAGATGTTAACTGTTTTCGGCACATTTACTTTCAGTCTGCGTCTGACGACGACCTGGGGAACCGGCGTCGAAAATTCACGCAATAAAGTACCTTTTCCCAAAGAACGCCTCTGCCTTCAACATATATATATATATATATTAAAGGTATTATACCGTACTCCCGACCTAGATACTTGCTAAAAGCCCAGACACGTGTTTCGCCGATATTCTGCCGCTGCGTGACACAGCTGCGAGGGGTTCGGCTCTTCAGTGGGACCCCCAGCGTTCTCTAGCGGTTTTCGGTATATGAACTCCAGAGAATAATCAGGTGAATAATTTCAGAAATTAATCAGTGCAGAACTTGGAGTTAAATCTCCGGGACATGACTTTTTAGGGTTCTGACCCTAAAAAGTCATGTCCCGGAGATTTAACTCCAAGTTCTGCACTGATTAATTTCTGAAATTATTCACCTGATATATATATATATATATGAGAGGGTGCCGACAATGACAAGGGAGACCGGAATGGCCATTTCTGGCTTATTAGCCGTTGTCGGCCAGTTATACCCCACCCCGAAGTGTGGAACACCCGAGGCTCGAACTCGCGACTTGTTAGTTAGGAGTCCACGCCTCTAACCACTGGGCCGCCAGTCCGTTGCCCTGTCGGTTTTCGATCGGGAATATACAACGGTAGGGAGCGCTCACCTATCGTTACTACGGAACTGACTCGTTCCGTTGTGTCTTATGGGCTCTCCCTCGAGCCCAACCAGCAACCGCACAGCGGCGCATGGTATAGGCAGAATGGCATTGCCGACAAAGACAAGGGAGACTGAAATGGCCCTTTCTGGCTTATTAACCGTCGTCAGCCAGTCATACCCAACCCCGTTGCCCTGTCGGCTTTTGATCGAAAATACTTATAATAATTCCGAATGCTCACAGTTCTCCGATCCCTCCAGTTCGTTGCCGATCACCAGAACAAGTAAGCGAGTCGCGGCAGGGCAGGATAGCGATTACGGCTTCGAGTAGTATGCAGCCAGACAACTGAATTTCCGACCGAATGCAGGAGAATTGATGGGGGGAGGGGGGGGGGGCTTCACTGTCCCACACGGCAGTTGAAATCATCGTAACCACTGAACAGTAAACAGTCACTCTTGCTGGGCGCTACGCTCACAATGTCCCACAGATGGTGTTTTCGTGGTTGAATAAGCCCACTTCCTGATCCGTGCGACAGGTGGCATCATCACTGCCAATGCCGAAGGCATAATCCCCTGGGGGCGGAAGGTGACTGCACTAATATCCGACCCGTGTCCTGGAAAGGTCTGCCCCCACTACCCATCTCAGATGTCCCAAAGTTTCTGTCCCTCCACATACGTGGCACGCGTATATAAGCTAACTACCTTGCTCAGTCGCTGCAGACATGCTCATCCTATCGGTTGCGACCTGGACGAACATGTCCCACAACTTGATCAGTAAACTACCAGCCTAGTTAATACTCCCTATCGCCACCGACCGGACAACGAGCCCGTGGCCCAATGGCGGAGCGGGGAACTTAGAAAAGTTAAATAGCTGAGGAATTTTGATCCGAATTCGAAGTTATGTAGGCCTGGGGTTGGGCATGGCTGGCTGACGATGGCTTACAAGCCTGAAACGGCTATTCAGGTCTCCTTTGAGCAAGTCGGTACTCCTTTCAGCACATATGCCTGGTTGCTATGCGACTGCTCGCAAGGGCCCCCCGAGGCGCGACGGGACGTGCGTGTTCCCCGACCTCATCGATGAACGCATCTTCACACGGAGATAGAGATGGCCATTGTTAGTTTATTAGACGTCGTCAGCCATCGAAAAGCAACTCTAGGTCTGAAAGATCCGCTATTCGAAGCTGGGTTCTCTGGTTACCGAGCGTTAACTCCAGCAGTCAGAAACATTCGAAGCCACAAGGAAGGGGTGTCTCACTGTCTCGATCGCAAGGGTGACCGAAAAAGGTTTCGACTAAAGTTTCCCCAGTTTCGGCACATGCGCCACAGAGGCGGGGAACCGTGCCAAACAGGAATCATCGCCATAAGATAGTAGATGGGAAGATAGACAAGAAGGAGCGAGGGTGAGAGAGAGGGAGAGGAGGGGCGCACCTTGTAGTTCTTCAGTGCCTCAGCCATCTTCCGCATCTTTTCGGCCTCCGCCTTGGCAACAGCTCGACTGGCCTCTGCCTCAGCCATTCCGCGCAGCATAATGGCCTCCGCCTCAGCCTCTGCCTCCGCCTTGACACGAAGACGCTCCGCTTCGGCGATGCGTTCCAGACGGAAGCGTTCAGCCTCCGCGGGCTTCTTCACCGTCGCCTCGAGGGTGAACTTGACGCGTTCGCAATCCAGTTCCTCCAGCTCAATGCGGCGTTTGCGCTCCACCAACTCGATACCCATCTCCTCCGCCTTGATGGCCTGCTGTGTCTTCGCCGCCTATACAAACATATATATATATATATATCCATACATATATTAATATGTAAGGTGATACCGAAAAACACAAGGGTGACCGGAACGGACATTTCCGGCTTATTAGCCATCATCAGTCAGTCACGACCGACCTCGTCCGAGATTCAGATCCATGGTCTTTGGTCATCGGATGTGACACTCTACCACTGAGCCATGTCCCGTTATTCTATCGGCTGTGATCCGGAATATCGTGGCAGAGGGACGCCCACTGATCAGGTTACAGAATGTGCTCATCCCGTTGCGCCTTGGAGCTCAAACTAAAACCCTCGCAAGCAGTCGCACAGCGACTAGTAGTATAAGTAGATATGGTGGTAACAGGAAAGACAAGGGAGCCCCAATACGCAGCGGGATAAGCACGTCCCGTACGCTGATCGTTGAGCGCCCTTCTACCATAACATATACATATAGACAAGATGGCGCAGATAAAGGCAAGGGAGACCATTTCTGGCATATTAGCCGTCATCAGCCAATCAGACCCAACCTCAAGTGTAAACCACCTCAGATTCGAATTCGGGATGGATGGTCATTAAGTGCTACACCCTGCCACTGAGCCAGGGGTCTTTTTCCTGCTGGTTGTGACCATATGTGGGCGCACTCCAAACTATTGGCTTTCCAAGGCAAACAAGCAGCCAACTACTAGGCCGAAGTCGGCCAAGCTATGACAGCAGAGAGGGGAGTTAACAGAGTCTGGGGGTAGATTGATATAGCTCTGTTCCGGACTTATTCTGCCTTTATTCAGTCAATCATAACCCTGACCACGAGATGGGACCGAAAACACAAACATGCGAACAGACACACCTGGAGCAGCCGGTCCACCACTGGAATCTACCAGATGGGTCATAAGCACTTCATCGAACCGAAGTCCATCAGTGCCTTGCCCCACATGTCAGACTCTGTCGCTGCAGATTGGGTATTTATTCACTGCTGATGGATCGTGTGCGCCGATGCGAAGCGACAGGGAATGGCAGGTGGGGAGGCTCTGATGAAACACAAACATGCGCACAGACTTCGGTTCGATGAAGTGCTTACGACCCATCTGGTAGACCCCAGTAGTGGATCAAATGCGCCAGCTGCGTCTGTGCGCGGGTTTGTGTTTCTGATCTCAGATACTGGGCAGGGTTATGATTGGCTGAATGAAGGCAAACAAGCCTGAAACAGTGCTGTATCAATCTACCCCCCAGACTCTGTCGTCCACCTTCTGATATATATGCATATACATACTAAAAGGAGAAGACTCGTCGGAAATTCTAGATGCACTCGAATTTTAAAGTCGGTTACTCAAACCCGTCGTCAGACAAAGTGAACAGTAGGGGGAGGCATAATCGCATAAGAGAGCAGGGGGACATCGAGGTTAAATAGACAGAACAGACGTGCATGTGAGGGGATGAATAGCCTGTTTAGATAGATGCCGCCTGGATGAAAAGACGCCTATAATTCGAGTCTTATCCGGTTTCCAGCGTATGCATGGCGACTTGGAACGAGTGGTCTCCTCCTTTTACCGCCAGTTGATGTTCGTGTATGCGTGAGGGGGCACATCTTGTAATTTGACCGCATTAAACTGCATTGCAAGTGTCGCATGGTATCTTATAGACGACTTCTTTCATACCTAAATGGTCGACCCTATCCTTTGGGTGTATAAGCTGGTCGGAAATTGTAATCGTCGGCTTGAGCACAATGTGTATTTGATGCCTCGTCGGGTGTATTTTAACGAGTTTGGATATATTCCTAGTGTGCGGAAGTGTTTGCCAGTTCTTCGTCCGGGTGCCTGATCTAGTTTCATGTCTTCTTCTTTTAACTCCTGATGTTTCATCCATTAATACACAAAATCTCTAGGATACTCATTCTGGGAAAACAGTCTGAACGAATAATTCAGTCTTATTTTGTAGTTTTCGTTGTCAGCGCAGAGAGCTTTTGCTCGATTAAGGTTGTTTGCAGCACTCAATTTGTGCGATATATATATAGCAGGAGGCGTGACTTATGAGACTGTGTGGGAGCAGATGGCTTATTGTTATTTTCGTCTTTTAAATTCATTTCAGGTGTTAAGGGTCTTTTACGAAGACAACCTGCCTAAAAGAAAGGCAGAATGCTGACGAGTATTGAAGACTAAGAACGCATGCTTGCCCGCGTTTGCCATGAAAAGGCGCTACTATAGACCAAAAAATACTTGCTCGAAGCGCCTTCTGGAGGTAAGAAATCGGATTTTGCTCTCATATAAATCAGGTAAAACAGAGTATTAGGCATCACACCCTTTACCGGTAAACAAGAGGTTGGTTCAGTTTTCGTGATTCTAATTTGCAAATTGGTGCTATTTTAAGTGATAAGAGACAGCAATAAAGTTGGTTGACTGGAGTTTACTTTAATGAACTAAAAGAGGAATATATTCGTAGTAGTCGTGACATGCTGCCAGACTTCTCTACGACACCACATAATAGAGATTTCAAAGCGGTTTTCGTCTGATGCCGATCTTTAACGGATATAGAAAGTAGCAAATGGAGGAGTTCCGCATGGGTCACTAGGAAGCACAGTCAGTGGCCAATTTCGTGAAATGTTAACGGAAATTCTGAAACGCGTTTTCGAGTAGCACGGATTACCTAAGTGGGGCTGTAATGGCGATTATCTTTGGATACAATCTTGAGATATCCGAGACACTCCCGGGTGCTGAGTTTTGAATGGACTTCTTTTCGGCTGCCTACGAAAACCGCACTCGGTAAAAAGTGTTTGTTCAAATAGTATGCATTTTTCTCTATTGATTCTCGACGCCTTCCTACGTTAAAACACATTCTATAGAAAACTTACACTAAAATATTATTTCTTGTGCTCATTTGGTAGCAAACCACATCTTCTTCGAAGGTTACATTCAAAGAAGGGGTACTTTTGGTCTAAACGTTTTTAAATCCCTGAATAATTTTGAACTTGATCTGCTGTTTCATTTTCGTTCATGGTTTCCAGTCAACAAGCTGTATACTGTCCGTGTAAGGAAAAACATACAATCCTTTAGGCTATTAACAAAATACCGTATGAGCTCATAAAATGTTGCGATGGATTGGGACTATGTTGTATACTTAATGAGAAGCATCATTAAACAGACTAACGAGATTTTAGAAGACGAAGATGCGATCACTGGAACATGAAGTTTATTGGCCTGACGGTTCGGATTCTCACTCGAACCCATCATCAAAGGCAGTCGCAGATAACACGATTTTATTTGGATGGACATTGCAAGGTCTTAAGAAATCTCATGATAAGAAACTTTTTAAAACCGAAAATACCTTTTCTTCGGGCATAGATTTTAAAATATACATAACTCGCTACCAAATTAGTACAAGAAATAATATCTTTATGGAGGTTTCCACAGAATATAATTGAGTTTGCAAGGGCATCGAAAATCCGTAGAGAAAGTGCATAATATTTAAGTAGTCATTTTTTACTGAGTGAGGATTTCGAAAACGGCCAAAAATAAGAGCATTCAAAGGTCAACATCCCGGCGTGCCACAAGGTAATCAACCTGAGAGTCCCACTTAAGTAGCCTCTCCAACTCGAAAACTCACTTCTGAATTTCAGTTAACATTACATGAGATTGGTCGCTGGCTGTATCTTAAATACTAGTCAAGTTACTCTGTGGTGAACTACTAATGAAAAGACGGCGCAAAGAAACAAGGAAGGTTGATTAAAATGATTCACGAGCAAACGAGGCGACGATTTTATTCGCCGAACACTGCAAAAGTATTATTAAATGCCCATTAAGATTATTCACCCGAAAAAGGTCACGGGAACGCCACTTTAAGTATAAAACGAACGAGGGCATGTTATTTATTGGTTAAGGTGTACGATTATTACCGATCTTCATTCTGGAAGTGCATTTACTTCTGCGATTACCTTATATATTTAGACATGTTAAAGGGGGCGGTGCCGGTAGTCATGCGTGGAATGACCTTTCAACGGTAACGCAATGTGCTGATCACAACTTTCGGGAACCTAATGGTTTATATGGCCACCGAATTTGGTGAACGGTCAAACTGGCAGTCAACTGTATCGACAACCGGGAGTTTGTCGGCATCATGAAGGATACCTTCCATTGCAACAGCATTCACCAACTACCAGGCCAAAGTCATCCCTTATAACTTGGCCGACTTCGGCCTGGTGGTTGGTTGCGGAGCTTGTTTGCTTCGGGAAGGCAAAAGATCGATGTGCGCCCATTCCTGATTGAATAAATATCTGATCTGCAGCGATAGAGAATGACAATTGGCGAGACACTGCTGAACTTTGGTTAGATGAAGTGCTTATGACCCATCTGGTAGACCCCGCCTGTGAACCATCTGCGTCGTGTACGAGCGCTTGTTTGTGCTTCGGGTCCCAGCTGCTGGTGGTCAGAGCTATAACTTACTGAATGAAGGCAGAATAAGCCCGATACAGTACTGTATCAATCTACCCGCACTCTCTGTCGCCCTTCCTTGCTGCCAGTGTATGTATACAGTAGGTGGGCTAACTCACGAAATGTCAACCGAAATTCTGAAATGCGTTTTCGTTTCGACAAGATTAATTAAGTAGAGTTGGAGAACTAACCATCATGCAGCATAATTCTATAATAATTCAATTACCCCAGGATGCCGGCTTTCGAACGAACTTCTTTTCGGCAGCATCCAAAGGCTATACTCTGTAAAAAATGACTACGTGAGTAGCATCAATTTTTTTCATTGATTTTCGATACCGCTAAAAGTCCAATTGTATTTCATGGAAAACATGCATAACAATATTCGGTAGAAAAATACATCTTCTTCCAATTTTATACTCGAAGGAAGGGTGTAATTCGGTTTTCAAAAACTTTTCTAATTCCCGAGTAATTTTCAACCCGACCTGCCGTTACACTCGCATTTAGGGTTTCCAAACTACAAACTATATATTTTCCGCGTACGGAAAACCATACGTTTCTCTACAGTATTAAGTGGACAGCACATGGGGTTCACAAAATCCAGCAGTGGATTTGGGCCATGTTGTTAACTTTACGAGCCACATTGGTAGATGCAGAGACATGACGTTTTATGAACGGCCATTCCACGGTATTAGAAAATCTCGCGATTAGAAACTTTTTAAAACCGAATTATGTCTCTCCTTCGAGTATAAAACTAGAAGACGTGATTTTCTACCGAATGAGCAAGAGAATGATATTTGTATGCATGTTTTCCAAGAAATATGATTGAATTTTTAAGGGCATCGAAAATCAACGGGAAAAATGCATGCTATTTAAGTAGTCATTTTCCACAGAGTATAGCTTTTGCATGCTGCCGAAAAGAAGTTCGTTCGAAAGCCGACATCCTGAGATAACTGGAGTTCGATTAACCCAGCTCCCGAGACGCATTTATACCCTGTCGACAATTAGACTGATCATTTGCCTTGTAATTGTACAGGCCTGATGAGGAAGTACCGAAAGCAAATGCTAGCCAATTAACTTTTCAATCGTAATATGGGAATTTTCGCAGAAATTGATTATTATAGAATTGTGCTGCTTGATGACTAGTTCTCCAACTCTACTTAGTTAATCTTTTCGAAACGAAAACGAATTTCGGAATTTCAGTTGACATTTCACGAGTTATCCCACCTACTGCATATATATATATATATATATATATATAGGTGTTTTTGTGTTATACATTTTTATATTTGAGCAGCTCGCTAAGAGTGCAACAGACCAGACGCAGACAGCTGTTTCACGGTCGTTACCGATCATCAGTACGTCATAGGCCTTAGGAAGTGAGGTATATAAGCATGTCAAGTGGGCGTTTGATCCTCACTGTTAAGGTTAGGATCTCACTCGATCCCATTCTGTCCGCCCGCCAGCTTGCTACTGGCGACAACGAACGCTGTGTCAGAGGACACATACCACATATAATACATGAGCAGCTCGCTAAGAGTGCAACAGACCAGACGCAGACAGCTGTTTCACGGTCGTTACCGATCATCAGTACGTCATAGGCCTTAGGAAGTGAGGTATATAAGCATGTCAAGTGGGCGTTTGACCCTCACTGTTGTGGTTAGGATCTCACTCGATCCCATTCTGTCCGCCCGCCAGCTTGCTACTGGCGACAACGAACACTGTGTCAGAGGACTTATTCCACATATAATACATGAGCAGATCGCTAAGAGTGCAACATGCCAGACGTACTGATGATCGGTAACGACCGTGAAACAGCTGTCTGCGTCTGGTCTGTTGCACTCTTAGCGAGCTGCTCATGTATTATATGTGGTATGTGTCCTCTGACACAGCGTTCGTTGTCGCCAGTAGCAAGCTGGCGGGCGGACAGAATGGGATCGAGTGAGATCCTAACCACAACAGTGAGGGTCAAACGCCCACTTGACATTTTTATATTTATTTATTTCTGTAAGTGGTGCCTCAGTGAATGGCCGTTCCTGGTCAATTAGCCATATGTGACTGGTCGCTCTAGATGGGGTCCCAAAGCAAAACGGGACGAGCACATACCGTGACCCGACCGGTGAACGTCCTCCCAGCACATATATATATGGCACATGCATTATACCGTACTGCTGACACAGGGCTTACTGCACTGTCAGTCGCAAGCAGAGATAACCAAAGCCATGTAAAAGTGTCCAGTGGATAGCAGACTGACCTGCAGTTTGTAGGCCAGCTCAGACTTGGCCTTCAGGGTCTGCACCTCCTTGTCACAGGCGGCCTGTTTCAGTTGTAGATCACGCTTAGCCTTGGCGACTTGGGCCTCGTTCTCCAGTTGGCCGGCAATTCGTGCATCCTCTGCCTGAGCCTCTCGAATGCCTGCGTCGCGTCGAGCCTCGGCTTCGCCTATACGAGCGTCACGTTTCACCTGTGCCGTCCTTGCCTGGCCCAGTGCCTTCAGGTAGCCCTGGACGGAGTGAAAAAAAAAGTATATATACATATATATATATATGTGGAAAGCTAATACCGACAAAGACAAGGGAGACCGGAATGGCCATTTCTGGCTTATTAGCCGTCATCAGCCAGTCATACCCAACCCCAAGTGTGGATCACTTGAGATTCGAACCGTAACCTGATCGGTGAGCGCCCACTATCATAATTAATATTCCCGATCACAACCGACAGGACAACGGGCCCGTGGCTCAATGGTAGAGCGTTCAACTCCATGACCAAAGATCCCGGGTTCGAATCTCAAGTGATCCACACTTGGGGTTGGGTATGACTGGCTGATGACGGCTAATAAGCCAGAAATGGCCATTCCGGTCTCCCTTGTCTTTGTCGGTATTACCTTTCCAACATATATCACTAGTCGCTGTGCGACTGCCTGTGAGGGTTTAAGTATGAGCCCCAAGGCACAACGGAACGAGCATGTTCCGTAACCTGATCGGTGAGCGCCCACTATCATAATATATATATATATATATATGTATATATACGCCCAGTAAGCACGGCAATTGGATCATCTCGTCTCCTGCCTCAAGGAGCAGTGATCCCAACCATGTGTGTGGCTGTCGTTGGACATCACAACCTCCAGTTAATGAGCTGGCCTTACTAACTTTCGGCCCCTCAGAGCGGAAGAATTGGGCTGGATGGGTTCAACGGCTGACGGCCGTTCACATCGTCTCATCCTTACGCGGTTCATGGTCTGCGGCTGGGATAAGATGGGCTCACATAACCCGGGCGTCTTTCGTAACTATCGGAGATCACACAGGTCGCCTAGTAGTAATACAAACTGGAGAACAGATTGCGTGTTATAAATGGCGACAAAAGAAGTAGCAACTGTTGCATGGTCTTTTATTGCAGATGAGAGGTTTGGATTTGTGACGCTCAGTGCATGGTGGCTGCTAGTATTCGTCTAGTGGGTGGACCTTCTTTGCCTCGAATCTTATGCGCATACGTATGACGATGAGTTAGGCTATAAGATTCGGGAATTTGTGTAATAAAAGTTATTTCGTTCTCAAAGAACTTTGTCTATTTTTTAATCAAGATAGGGATCTTTTATGAGGAATAGGTACGCTTCCCGGAATTTAGCGCAGGGGGGATGTTCCCACAAACGTGTTCCACGGGGAAGCACATAAAGGATCCCAACCCTAATTAAGTTTCTCGAGACGCCCTTTGTAGTGTATATATATATATATTCACTCAGGAATGGGCGCACACCGATCCATTGGCTTTCCGAAGCAAAGAAGCTTCGTATGGGCTGAATGAAGGCAAACAAGCCCGAAACAGTGCTGTATCAATCTACTCCCAGACTCTGTCGTCTCCCCTCCGATATAGATATATATATATATTAAAGGTATCATACCGTACTCCCGACATATATACTTGTTAAAAGCCCAGACACGTGTTTCGCCGATATTCTGCCGCTGCGTGACACAGCTGCGAGGGGTTCGGCTCTTCAGTGGGACCCCCAGCGTTCTCGAACGGTTTCTGGTATATGAATTCCAGAGCATAATCAAGTGAATAATTTCAGAAATTACTCAGTGCAGGAGTTAAATCTCCGTACTCGGAGTTAAATCTCCGAGTTGTAATACCAATGATTGCGCAGAAAAATCCTAAGGTAATTCAGTCACAGTCAGGGTGCCGGCTTTGAATGAGCATCTTTACAGTCGGTTGCACTGTTGGTTGGCCTCATCATATTTGAGCCGAAGACCGTCCACAGGTGTCTCAGGAGGTCCCACTCTAGGCGGTCGACCGATGAGGGAGATACGATCGCTGGGACGAAAGCTTTATTGGCCTGACGTTTCGGATTCCTGCTCGAACCCATCATCAGAGACGGCAACGGCATCGGCGAACACGCACAAAAAATACGCTTTCTTGTACTCAATTGGTAGCAAATGGCTTCTGTAAACCTTGTAATTGAAAAGAAAATATCTTCGCCCTTAAAAACGCTCCTAATCAGGCGACTTTTTAAGACCGGCAGATCTCCAATCATACGACGTCGAAACAGCATGCGTATTAATAGTACTTGTAAATTAGGCAACATGTTCCACATACATCGCAAAATTTTACGAACCCTATATGAAATCTCTCTCAATAGTGCATATCAATTTATGATTTTCCTTGCGCGGAAAGTATGCAGCATGTAGTTTAGAAGCCCTGAGTACAAGTGTAACGGCAAGTCGAGTTTAAAATGTTTCGGGAAATGAAAACGTCCTTAAAACCGAATGTTACTTTTCCTTCATGGATGAAATTTGAAGACGTAACTTGCTACCAAATGAGTAAAAGAAAGAATATTTTTGTACCTTTTTCTATAAAATGTTTTAAAATTTATGAGAGCATCGAAGATCAATGGGGAAATGCGTACTACTTAAGCAGCCGTGTTTTGCGGGGTGTAGTTTATGTCGTCGGTCCATAAGAAAAGCACTTAAAAGCAGGTATCCGGCCGCGACTGAAACATCTTGGGGCTATGATACATGATAATTAATAGTAAGACCTTGCCTAAGTAATCTTTTTGTATCGAAAACACATTTAAGAATTTCGGCAGACATTTCACGAGATAGCACATCTACTGTACTTATGTAATGAGTGTGATCAGTTGCGTAAATATCAGCCTCATTCCTCTTCCCTTTCGAAGGCAGCGGTTTTCGCCACATCCGCTCCAGGAGCGGTTTACTTGTTTGAGGTTTCCACAAAGAAGGATGATAACCTCCGCAAATTCCGTATCGTCCAGCTTACCTTCTCGAAACAGAACGACGTCTCCATGCAGAAGGTGTCTTGAGTATAGCTCAACGATGACTGTCATCAGCAATGACAATGAACACTGACTAAAACTGATCCTGACGAAAGTCCGTAGAGAATGGGGAGAAGGTGAAACGGACTACGGGAATTTACCAAAGAGCAGCCTGTTATCTGCGAAGACACCAACCATTACTGAAATATGAGTTATATATGTCATATATTGAAGGCTACTGCGAAGACAACGACCATTATTCCGATCGAACGATGTCGCCTACCTACCTGGTCGTCTTTGATGTCCTTGAGGGTATAACTGACGACACTGATGCCCATGTTGATGAGGTCCGAACTGGCCACCTCAAAAACAGCCTTGGAAAACTTCTTGCGGTCCTTGTAGATCTCCTCCACGGTCATGTTACCCATGATAGCGCGCTGGTGACCCTCGAGGGTTTCCTTGGCCACCTCTTGAATTTCTTCCTCTGTTTTTCCCA